TTTGTATTTTTAGGGAAGAGTCTACAGGGTATTCAGGGAATCACTACTTTTCGGACTCCTAGTGATCCACCTGTTTACAGCCACCCAAGAGCTGGGATTATAGGCATGCAACATCATGCCCAGTTTCCTATGGTTTGCATAACAAATTTTATAAAAGAAAATTATTTTATACTCTTTTGGAGGATAGAAATTTAACATTAAGTCATTGAAAGCATTCATCATCAGGCCTTTCTTTGCTATCTTAACATGATCATCTGTGTCACTTCTATAGTATCTCTCAGTCTCATCTAAACATTTCTTATAAAGATATCAGTAATATTGGATTACAGCTCTCCTGATTACATCATTTACACATATTCCCCTCTCTAAAACTGTATGAATGTCCTTTTCTGAAAGAGGGTCTTGATATGTAGTTCTGTTTAGTCTTAAACTGATTTGTCAGCCAGGATAGTCTTGAACTCATAGCAATCCTCCTGCCTCTGGAGTGCTAGGATTACAGGCATGCAGCATCACACCAGGCTTAAATACAGCCACATTCTGAAGTAGCCAGGGTCAGAGCTTCACCATATGATCCTGGACACCAGAATACAAATCAACCTCTAACAATTACAAACTTATTCCACTGCGAAAAAGAAATAAACACAAAAGGAACTTTAAAAAATTTAAAAGTACCTGGAAGTAGTGAGACCCACTAACAAATACACTTTTTAAAAAAGTGCATTGTAATGGGTTGAATGAAAAACAGACACTATGACATTTTTTCAAGAATGTGGAAGCTTTCATACATTAACACATATATGAAATGACTAATTAGTGGTATGAGTTGCTACAACCATTTTGGGAAAATTTTTTTGAAATAACTAAAAAGATACTTGCTGCTTACTAAAGGTACATAAATTATACCCAAATTAGTTACAGATATGTATATGTGAATTGTGATAAAAATATGAACACTTTAAAATTTAAAAAAAACTATTACAGTACATGTATGTCACATTTTATCTCCCAAATATTCCCCCCTTGATTTCAACACACATATCTTGTGTCATTTTCATCATGTTGTGTGGCAGTTCTGGAAGTTCTCTTTAACCAGGACCTTTATTTGTGCTATCATGGCTGCCTTCATGTCCTGTAGTGATTCAAATGCTCACCCTTTATGGTCCTTTTGCCTTTGGAAAAAAGCCAGGAGTCACATGGTACCAGACCCTAATAAATAGATGAGGACACACACTAATGTTTTCATTTTCACAGGATGTCACTCAGCACTATTCACCATATATTTTTTAAATCACATCCTGTAAGAACACATACAAAAATGGACTTCAAGACCTTCTCAGAAAGTAGCAAGAGCATACAGGAAGAGTGGATTTTGAGTGTGGGAGCAATATTCTCAAGGAGAGTCTTGCCAATGTGCTTTATTATAATAAAATTTTATATACATCATATATTTTGTCTCACACATAACTTCCCAAAGGTGTTTACATGAATATTCTCACCTTTTATTGCTAATAACAGTTAAACCTTGCATCAATTCAAATATTCATGTTCAAAATATATAATAAATTCTGGCATACTCATCCAGTGGAAACTAAATATTAATGAGAATGAAAAACTAAAACTAAAAGGTACTATGCATAAACTTCCTAAAAACAATGTCACGGGAAAGAAATGGAACACCAAGTAGTTGATATTCTATCACTCCATTTATATATACTCACAAATACAAACCCAAATTAATGGCAGTCAGCATGTTTCTAATACTTGGAATGATAGTGATTATAAGGAGTAACGTTGTGTCACCTGGAGTCCTACTAATGTTTCAAACTGTTGGTACTATGTATGCTTACTTCAAATAATTGTATCGAGGTAAGCATGTCTCAGTCACTCTTCTCTCCTTGCTGGGACAAAGACCAGACACTCAAAATGAAGGAAGGAAAAGTTTATTTAGCTCATAGTTACTGAGGATTTCAGTCTATACTCAGCTGGCTCCAAGGCAGACATTTGAGAGTAGGGAAATTCCGAGAATGGTTTCTGTAATCCCAACCCTCAAGAGACTGAGGCAGGTGGATCACCATGGATTTGAGGTCAGCCAGGGTTTCATACTTTAAAACAGTCTGAATTACGTATCAAGACCTCGGAGCCTTATTTGCCCAGGAGAGAGGGTCAGTGCCTCGGTCTTTCCCAAACATCTCTTTTTTGCCCACCGGCCTCAATCACAGACACCACCACCTGTTGGTTCTGGATTGGAAGGAGAGGCTGGGGCACCTCCGTTCTAGGAAGGCCTGCTGCACACTTCAGAGAGGCCGCAGGCGGGGTTGGGAGAGTCCGGGAATGGGCGCGGCCTGGGCAGTTTAATGGTTCCTGCCTCTCAGGCCAGACAGCTGGAGCCCGGTCCTGGTCCTCTGGCCTAGCCCCTAGATTCCTGCCCTGCTCCTCCAGGGGCGTCAGCTGTGGGAGGACACTAGACACAAACCATAACAGCATTAATGATTTTATGCATGAGATAATTCAATTTAAAATTGTGTTTTAAAATGTTTGCCCTTGGTCAGGTAGATAGCTCAGTGGAATAAGCGCTTGTGTGGGACCACAAGGTCCTGAGTTTGATTCCTGGTACCACCACCAAAAAAAAAAAAAAACCCTACCAAAAAAGAAAATGTTTGCCCTGACAAAACTAAACAAGAAAAGGGGATACAAATGAATGACCGTCTGTATATTCAAAAGTTAGGATAGATGTACAGTTACTTTCTCTTAATTCAATGAGAAGAAAGATTTGTTCTAAAAGTATTTGTAAACAGGATATCATGTCTGCATCTTGTACAATGAATAACCACTAAGACAACAATATGAAATGTATTAATTATTGAAACAGTCCTACCAATCGGATTTGAAACTGTCTCATTGCTATTTGTTTCTCAATAAAATTGTTGAAAAAAATAAATGAAATGTTTGCCCATTTGAGTCATGCTGGTAAAGAAGAGTAGCAATATTAAAAAAAGAAGAGTAGCAATATTATTACACATCGCATTTTCTTATGTATTTTATTATGTCATATTTGATTTGTTGTCTCTACTTGTTGAAAAGAAAGTCACCTAAATAACATGTATTTTCAATTTTACATCAAATATACTGAGAGTATATTTGATGGGTTTTGAGCTTGGGTGTCTCCAAGTTGGTAACAGTGATGGTGATGTTGTACTTGGCTCTTTTCTCTCTGTCCAATGGCTTCTCTGTACTTAGGTGTAAAAATTCTTGAAAGTGTGGTTTAAAAGGAAAAAATATTGTTAAACAAAATTTTTGAAATATGTAGAACTAGAAATAATGGTTTGATTTCATTAACATGTTTCAGCACAAGAAACCCCAATGAGAAGATTTTAAAAATCTCAGGAAAATAAAGAGCATGCATAGATTTGGAATGAAAATATGTAAATAAGTGCAATAAAGCAAAATTGGCCTGGGGATAGTGTACTTAAAAAAACAAAAATACAGGCAAGCCAAATAGCTCAGTGGGTTAAAGCACCTGCAAGCATGCTCATGGGTCAGGGGTTGGATCCCCAGGTCTGGTGTGCTGGCCCCGCCCTGGGGGCAAACTGAGATGACAATTGAGACTGGACATGGTGGTGCTCACCCATAATCCAGGTCTTGGGAGGCTGTAAACAGGTGGATAACTACAAGTCCCATCTAGTAGTGAGACCCTGAACACCCTGTAGATCCTTCCCTAAAATACAAAAAAAAAAAAAAAGAAATGAGAGTGGGCTTGGTGGTATGAGCCTGTCA